GAGAGAGAGAGAGAGAGAGAGAGAGAGAGAGAGAGAGAGAGAGAGAGAGAGAAAGAGAGAGAGAGAAGGGGGGTGCCATTCTATTCTATGCACCGCCGGGACGAAACGACACGGATCTATGTTGCAATTAAGCGTAAACGAAAAGTAATCGAAGCGAAAACAGAAAGAATCGAACGGCTGTGATAAACGAATGAAAACGAAAAAAAGAAAAAAAAAAAATAAGACGAAAAGAAAGAGAATAGAAAGCAGTGGAAAAAGAAAAAGAAATAAAAGAAAAAAAAAGATGAGAGAACAGAATAAAGGGATAAAATATGAAATTAGAACGCGTGGACCATGGTATTATGGTATGTAGCAACGTACCTCACTACTGGGTGCTTGGGAGGTACGGATGGGTCCATGGGGCTGAAATAACAAAACAAAGGTAGTTGCTAACAAACACTAAACATAACAAATCGTCAAATCAAATTCAGGCAAATTCAGTTCATACGTTTAAGCACCACCATTCTATCACCACTGCACACTTATTGCGAAACATTGGCGAGTTATCGGAGCAACGACGGATCGTACAGCGATAGATGGCATTGATTGAAGAAGTTAATCGAGGCAGGATGTGCTTTGAATTCATTCAAATCACTTCTTTCCCCGCGTTTTCGGGAGAACGTGCATTAAAATGAACGTTAACGTTTAGCGAACTCGTAACGCGCGATGATCGTGATGATCGGTACAAGAAGATGCCCGTCGCGCGTCACGCATCTACTCTTCGAAACAAGCCAAATTTTACGCAACGCCTTTTCTTTTTTCTTTTTTTTTTCACACACTACGAATACGTAGAACAATCCGAGTTCCTTTTGAATAGAGGATTTAGAAATAAATTGATACAACACGTACAACGTAGTTTTAACATATTTATTAATATGAAATTATTACTACTATTGCTTCTTAAAATTATTTTAAATAATATTTCTATTCACTTTCTATCAGCTATTTACTGCCCTCCGTATTAGAAAGATTTCAAGTAAACGCTTCTAAGGTAGATCCGCTAAATAATCAATTTCGATCATCAAAGATTCATCATCGGTGGAAGAGAGAAAAGAGAGAAAAAGAGAGACATAAAAAAATAAGAAAAAAAAAGAAAAAAAAAAGGAAAAAAAGATAAGAGAGAATGCTAAACGATCCTTCGAACGTTTGGACGGAAGTTGGAGTGCAGCAAAGAGCATCGATCATTTACAGATGTGTAATATTGGTAAATCTCGCGTATAAACGTCGTTGAGTTTCGTTTTCTTTACCTCTCCTACCTTCGTTATGCATTACACAACGCGCAACAAGTTCGGGTTGCTTAGATATCGTTTCCCATATATATCTATTCTTTTTCTCGTACACGTCAACTACCACGACTCGTTTGCTGGCCCCAGGAATGCGATTTTTTTTTTTATCTTCCTTCGCCATATTCTACGGAATTCTTCGTACATGCGTTTTACTTCGGAATGGGAATTTTTTCTCTCGATACGACGCGAACGCGTGTCGAAAATCGGAGATTACTAAGCGAGCTAGTTACAGAAAGAAAATTCGATCGTTATAAAGCGACGTAAATATAAGATCGAGGGAAGTGTCCCACGATGTGCGGTTAAATCTCGTTCGATCGGTGAAAATTCGTGGAAAGCAATGAAAGAAGAGAAGCCACTTTTCCAAGCTTCCATCCACTTGCCGTGTCACTCACGCTTTCACTCGTTCGCCCAGTCAATCATTCACTTTCTCCGTCTCGATTTACACACCTCGTGTTACAAATTTTTACCTTACTTTCTTATTCTCTTTTTCTCGTAATTAATCGTACGATAGCTGGTTATTGCACCGTTCACGGTATCTACACACATATTACGCATACTGTTTTCGATCATCACTGAACTCGTATCGATCGTGGAAAAACCGGCGTATTACTTTCCTATCAGCTTTCCTTGTCTTTTCTTTTCTTTTTTTTTTTTTTGTCGGATATTTTTTTTTCTCCCTTTTCATTTTGTAGTAAAAATACGCACGAAATGTATAACGTCGAAAAGAGGAAGGCACGCAGTTTCGATAACGATCTGGTTTTACGCAATATTCGAGATCGTTTGAACGATCGATTATATCTACGAAGGCAACGCTTGGATTTAGCACAGGATACAGCTTTTCTTTTTTTCTTTTTTTTCCCTTTTTTTCCCCTTTTTTTTCCGTTTTCTTTCCTTTATTTCCCTTACTTCGCTTCTTACTCGTATAGGTCAGAAAATAAATGGATATTCACGAAGTAGTTAGCCGCGATTAAAACACGATCCGAATTCTACGCGTATTATCGAGCGTCGCGTTGTTTCGTTAAAATACACGTCCAGGAATAAGGAGGATTAAGGAATACTTCGTTTTTACTCGCGGTTACCGCCGAGGATGACGGTACGAATCGTGCTCCACCTATGTCGGCAGCACGCTTGCGATACAATGATTCTCGTATAAAGAAATATGCGGATGATCGTTCACGGTTTGATCGGTGTTAAATGTTCGATTTAACGTTGCGTATCACTTTCGAATGGGCGAAACGTTCGGTTTCGTTTCATGATCGGCGGTAACAAATCGAGCGAGGAAAATATGGATTCGCGTAACTATTCTCGTCACTGCGAACAACTTATTCGAACAATTTCTTTTCCCTATTTTCATTTCCTCTTCCGCTTTTGTCACTTAGTCCATTAATAATTGAGATCAGTTTTGGAATCAGTTTGGATATCGTACTGCTCTAACGTGTAAGGACACAAAAGTTTATCATTACTTTTTTCTTCTTTTCCCTTGCCTATTTTATTATTATTATTATTATTATTATTATTATTATCATCATCATCATCATCATTATTATTAATATTTCATTATTATTACTACTACTATTATTATTATCATTATTATTATTGTTGTTGTTGTTGTTGTTATTCCTAGTTTATTATCATTATCATTATCATCACTATCATCACTATCATCATTATATCGTCGTCGTCATCATTATCATCATCATCATCATCATCATCATCATCATTATCGTTAATATTATTACTTTTTACCTCTCAATAAATAAGATATTTAGCGGTAAAGAGAAAGAAAATGCATAATCGCGCGTCAGTAGAATTTGCTCTATTCGTTTACGCAATAGCGTAAATACGTAATTCATAAATGGTAGAAAATTTGATATTCCGACGATAAATGGACAACGGATAATTGTCGTCTCGGTAAGATGGACTTGATAAAAAAAATAATGAAAAAAAAAAGAGACATGCAGGGGAAAAAAATATATAATGGAATGCGTTTAATATATGTTACATCGTATTTCGTAGCGATACGGAATCGAAAAAAGGGAAATGCATCATTGCGCGTCGATTGAACAAAATCATCCAAATAAAACAAAGAGAGCATAAGGAACGAACGTCAAATACGTAAATAAGAGAAACAAGAAAAAAAAAAAAAAAGGAAAAAAAAGAAATAGACAATTATTACCGTAAAAATGAAATAGAAAATAAAGGGTACGGAAACTGTATTAACCGACAAAGATGTGCGACGTCTGATATCGATTCTTTGAAAATTCGTCGGCAGTGTCTTGTAACGTTCGACGATCATTAAATTGTCCCTGGTACTTTTCTCGTTTCATGAAATACAGTTTATTTTTACGTTACGAAGCTGTACAAAATACTTTACGAATGCAAATACTGAAATTATATATCGTGGATAATATATTTACATAAATTACACGCATATGTATATCGCGATATACATGTACATATGTATATTCGTATAAAAAAAATGCATTCTCGGTCAGGCAAAAGAATCGATATAAGAATTTTCATTATAGATGATATCTCTATTGCGTAATCGTAAATAAACGGGTTTATATTTTGTATCGAATAAGGATTTGACAATCGCAAAATTAAACAATCTTCACAAGGAAAGAATATGTTGGATATCAACAAAAGAAAAAAGCGAAATGAAAATCGATGTAAAACGTGAAACGAAAAATTGGGAACGATGCGAGTTCATTTTCTTTTCGGTTTTCCGGATTTGCATAGGAACGTCTAAGAGCGGTAACAGCAACGGCAACGAGCTGTCTTACGTTTAATAGCACGGTACTGTTGGTAAGAAAGATTTGAAACATGGAGCATGGTATAACTTTGATAGAGTAGAGGTTCGAAATTATTGTTATCCAACATACTTCCCTAAATTTGTCATCTATTCACACGAAGTTTCTCGGCGCAAGTTTTACGTAAAATTATCAAAGAAACAGAGGAAAGAAAGAAAGAGAGAAAGAGAGAGAGAGAGAGAGAGAGAGAGAGAGAGAGAGAGAGAGAGAGAGAGTAGGATAGAAAGAGAAAAGAAAGTAAAAGGAATACGCTAATATAAGAAGTCACAGTCGGCCAGTTGATCAGACTTTAACTACTGTGCCGGTAAAATGTCTGTATATTGCCGTTGCTTGATATTCAGTGTGCGGCTCGCTCTCATTTCGGCTCGAGGGAAACAAGGCGAGACTTCAGCCTTCACTTAGAAAACCTGTCAACGTACGAAGAATTTTCATGTACTCCATTATCGTTGTGAAATTATCCGTGTGACGTTTGTTAGTACAATTATACCACTTCTATAAGGATTTGGGAATTGATATTCGTACGTCTTCGGTAAAACGAAATTATAAAATATGTTCACGCGATGGACGACGATTGACGAACGTTGTCGAATCATCGACAACATCTCGAACTCGCCGGATAAGACAAATGTTATGATCAACTAATCGGAGCTAAAGTAGACAAACGACAATTACTTTTCGGGAAAATTTCTGAGGCTAGCGGGAGAAAAATACGCCGAGGTTAGTAACTGATACCAATTCGTTTCGTTATCCACGTATTTTAACACGATTTAGTATGATTCTTCCCGAATGATTTTAATCGTGCACTAAATTCACAAGTTTTATCCTAATTTGTAACTTTGACACAACCGATGCGTAAAAAGTCACACTTACACAAGCACTATTTGATGCGTATTTTGCTTAATCGCAAACGCGGCAACGGTAAAAATAACGATGACGGCGGCAGCGACAGCCACGGTAATGGTAACGATAACGGCGACGACGACGACGACGACGGTGACGATGACGGTGACGGTGACGGCGACGGCGACGGCGACGGCGACGGCGACGGTGACGGTGACGGTGACGGAGGCGAGGCGGTGGCGGAGGGGAAGGGTAGCGGGAGGCGGAGGCGGAGAGAAAGGGTAGGGGGAGGCGGTAGCGATGGCGATGACGATAACGATAACGATGTCAGTGTTAGTGAAGATGTCGGTGTCGGTGTCGGTGTCGGTGTCGGTGTCGGTGTCGGTGTCGGTGTCGGTGTCGGTGAGAGTGTCGGTGTCGGTGTCGGTGACGATGACGGTGACGGTGACGGTGACGATGACGATGACAATGACGATGACGGTTACGATTACGATTACGGTGACGGTGACGGCGACGACGACCGTAACGGCAACGGCAACGACTATGATAACAATAACGGTAATGGTAATGGTAATGGTAATGGTAATGGTATTGGTAATGGTAATGGTAATGGTAACGATAACGATAACGGCGGCAGTAATGGTAACGACAACGGTAACTGTAACGATAACGATAACGACAAGGATAACGATAACGATAACGATACCGATACCGATAACAACAACGGAAAGGGAAACGAAAAGGGACAAAGTAATGGTTAACGGTGGTAATAACAACAGTGGGAAGGAAAACGGTGGAAAAAATGATAACGGTGAGAGAGGCAGGACGAAGAGAGGAACGGAATGGATAACAATGACGATGTAGATGGCGATGACGACGACGGAATGGGAATTGGGAATCAAAACGGAAATGGGAACGGAAACAAAGACGAAGCGCGAGATGTAGGGAGTGAGGGTCACGGTAACAATAACGATAACGATAACGATAACGATAACGAAACGATAACGTATAACGATAACGATAACGATAACGATAAGGGTAGTGGTAGCGGCAACGGCAAAAGCGACGGTAAAGGTGACGGTAAAGGTGACGGTAAAGGTGACGGTAAAGGTGACGGTGACGGTGACTCGATAAGGGTAGTGGTAGCGGCAACGGCAAAAGCGACGGTAAAGGTGACGGTAAAGGTGACGGTGACGGTAAAGGTGACGGTGACGGTGACGGTGACGGTGACGGTGACGATAAAGATAACGGTATGCACGCGAATCGCGGGTTTTAAAATCGCGTTACGCGAAACACTCGTTTACATTCCTACCCTGTTTTTTCCTTAAATTTCACTTTCTCTTCTTTCCGTTTTTGTTCTTTTACTTTTCTTTCTTCTTCTTTTCCTCTTCTTCCCGATTTTCTTCTTCTACATTACCAGTTTTCTCGCGAGACGAAAGACGGGAGGGTGAGAGTCGGGCGAACGAGCACATTGTAACTGCGACAACTGGCGAACGCAGCGCGTCAACTACGAAAACAAGTATCTTCTTCCGATTATATTTGTTTGAGAAACGTTCAAAGGGTCGGAACATTCGATAAGGTCGAAGTGTATGCACTCGTACGATCGAACCGAATCGGCGAATGATCGTCGCTGATTATTGTTATCCTAGGTCGAAGAAAAAGAAACGAAACCGACGTACGTTACGATGGATACACGTATAAAAATAGAAAGAGATTAGGTTATGTCTTTAAACGATGAGCGGCATAAGAGTGCACGTTCACTATAGCTGGCAGGCTGAGTTTTAGGAAAGGCACGATTTCGTACGCTAAGTCTACTAAGAGGATAAGGCGGCGGCGTTTGGGACAACGGCTGTGACACGGTGACAGAGAGTGACGGCGACGGTGGCGGCAACGGATCGTTGGATCGTCGCGCGTCAGGAAGACACTTTGCGTTCCGAAAAGATCATTTTAAGATTGCGCGAGGCGAAGCGCGAGGTCGGACGCGAGATTAGCGACGTGGTGATTCGTGCTCCAAACGATAACGGAGTTTCCTAAGAAGTTTCCTTTCGAGACGAACTTCCTTTTCTCAATTTCTCAAAAGCTCGATGATGCGCCACAGAATAACGGAGCCAGAAACCGTGTTAATTCCTTTCTTTTTCTCTTCCCTTCCATTTCCTGTTCTCTCCTTGTCTCCCCCTTTCTCTCCCTCTCTTCTCCTCTCTTCGTCGCGTCTCTTGCCTTTTCTTCTCCTTTATTTCCATTTCCTTTCCGTGTTTCGTTTTACTCGGTTCGTCGCGAGAGTCCAACGGATTGCGCGGTATCCATGGATCGTTGGTCGATACCGCGAATGTCGTTGACATCCTTCCGAGACAATCGAACGTGTGGCGCCGCGTTTGGCTCGTTGGATTTGCTACGTTAACTTTTGCGCTCTCTATTGGTCATCGTTTGACGAAGCTCGAGCAATGCCAAGCTTTAATCGGTTCATGTCCTGTAGCATACAATACACCGGTATACATTAATCCAAGTGTGAAGAATCGAGCGATGCACCAATGGCTATGCTGTGTGTCTCGGCGAACCGGACAATTTTCTCGGTCTGATCGAACAGTTGCGTCTATAGTACGTATCGACGATGCGTACAGTGACCATATCGTGAAAGTAGAAAAGATGTCGACGGTGAGGCGAACACGCTGGATTATTGCTCTCGTTATTCTGTGGCCTTACGGTCCTCGCATCGAACCGTTTACTTTATTCTTTTTTTTTACTTTTTCCTTTTTTTTTTTTTTTTTTTTTTTTCTTTTTTCCCCCGCATACACTTTATCTCTCTACTCTACTCTACTCTACGCGTCCAGTATAACACGCATTGTCGCTTTTCGGATTAACGAATTGTCGTATGCGGCAAGATCAGGGTCCCATGTACAAAGTATAGGTAAAGTACTAAATCAAGGATATGCCTCGCTACAGTCGAGTCAAAAAAGGGATGCACAATGAGTATGCGAGGTATAGCCCGAACTCGAGCTGGCCAAGCGGTATTACTTTCATCCATGAATTCTCAGGGTTTCCTTTCACAACCGGGGGAACATTCGAACACAAAGCAGGTACGATAACGATAACATTCGTCATGAAGGATACAGAACGGACGACGAATACACGTTTTTGGTATATTTCGTTTCTCACGTTGTCGTATTTTCTTTTGTTATTTCTTAAGAACAAGGCGGGAACCTAATGGAGCGGGTTGGTTAAATAGACCGGAAAAACGGCGGGGGAGAGAGAGAGAGAGAGAGAGAGAGAGAGAGAGAGAGAGAGAGAGAAATGGGTAGATAGATCGGGAGAGAAAGAGAGAGGATGGCGAATAGAGATGGAAGTACAAAGAAAGGGGGAGAGAGCGAGAGAGATAGAGCGTGTGCGTAACGTTTCGTCAACGGGGAGAATCCAACTAAAAAGGTAGATACAATAGAAACCTTATGGGACAAAGAAACGGCGAAAACGGCGTAGAAACAAATACAACTACGAGATATATCGTGAATGAGCTACGTTTTTCGTGGCTTTCACTGATAATGGTCGCTGCTCGCTCATCGGATTGCTAACTGAACGTACTATATATAGTCTTTTTTTCTTTTTTTCTTTTTTTTTTTTGTTTGCAGTATATCAAGTATACTTGCATAAGTAGATATACGTTACGTTAAAGACGATACAGAAATGTTTCACGTATCGGTACAGAATTTTCGGAATTACATAGTCATTGTGCATCCTTAAAACAGAAATATCATATCACATGCAAAACGATAGGTTCGACTCGTTTAAACTATTGCAGCATAAATAGTATAAATACAATTGAAAATTGTTCGTTTTACAGGATTATAAGTTCTACGCATGCATCGAGGGCCCACTGCAAAAGCTGTCGTATTTTTCTTTACCGTTTATTACGAACCGTGTTATATCGTATATATCGCATATACATATACGTATACGTATATATCTATACACGTATATATATACGTATATATCTGCCGTATATATACGTATGTATCGCCTAATCTATTGCAAGATGGAATAAACGATATACCGGATTGGCTCTGTACGCGAATTCTATTACACGACGTAAAAATTTATTACGCGAATCGGAATCGAACGTATCGCGCCACTTTATCTTTTTCTTTCCTTCCGTTCCTTCTTCGTTTATACTTCAACATCTTCTTCTTCTTCTTCGTATTCTTCTCGCACTTTTCGAAGAAGGGAGTTGTGCTTTTCGAACCGGAGTGATTAAGCGCGATTAGTTCGTTGCACGAATCGGTTAGAGATTTGCATTTCCGAAAAGAATTTCATCGTTTATCGTACAAGGTTGATCGATTGTCGTCCATCGAAATGTTACGATTAGACACTTCGGCTGTACTTCGATCGTAAGCCAAAGTTATATTTTGTGGACGAACGGTGGTACTTTACTTTACTTTTTAATTTGCTTTAATTTACTTTAATTTACTTTAATTTACTGTAATTTACTGTAATTTACTGTAATTTACCGTAATTTACTTTACTTTACTTTACTTTACTTTACTTTACTTTACTTTACTTTACAGTGGTACATGTACTAGCATGCTGTCGAATACGAGAAACCGTTTGTTCGATGTACGTATAACGAATCGGCAGAACTTACCGTTTGGAGAACCTCGAGGATAACTTGGAGAAGAAGGACGGTCTCGCTAGTGGGCTAATTGCATTTGTGTCCTGTGTATGCGTGTGACCCTGGAAAGTTTATAGAAGGTAACTGTACACGGTAATGCAAAGTCACATGGGGCACGTTCGAGGAACGTGCTCGTCGGCAAATTCGGAAAAACCGACTATCGGCCGTACCCCGCGCGGTATCTCCGTGCTTTTCTTTCGCCGCTATAACGCGTATTACTGGTAAACGATATAGGCTACGTGTATATGAAAAACGTTACGAACCTGAGTATGATTTCGTTGAGCTCTGTTCTGGCCAGAATGGAACGTGCTACGGCTTGGAACATTTCGAGGAAATGCCGGTGTTGTAGGTGTAGCCAGTCTATTGCTTGGAGACACACCCAAGCTAATCGGAAACAAATATATTTCTTATTACATCGAAACCGTTGGGTACGACGCGTATCTATCGGTGCATATACGTATATACATGTGTACTTATGTATATACATATAAATAATATTTGCTTTGCCCGTGTCGATTCTTTGCTATCGAAATTTGTGCAATTTAAACGATGCAAAAGATTCTTCGTTTCTCTTTTGTATATCTTTTGTTAGAAAAGAAGCAGAAGACAGGATGCAAAATAAAAGTAGGATGTAAAGTAAAACGTTCACTTCCGTGCGAATTCCTCCGTGAGGTTCAACGGGTGGTAGTTGTAAGAGTAGATAATGCACAAGCAATTTTTCTATGTCTTGCAAGACAAGCTTCGACAGTTTCAGCTAAGAAAGCGGAATTTTAAACAAATTAGTTTACTTTGGCTAATGAGAGTTAAATGATGGTAGTCGAGTATAGAGAATGTACTGAAACAGTTTGCGTTTGTTTGCGTATATGCGTCGATAGGACGTACGGCTATTTCGAGTCGGTTCCTTCTCTCTCGAGTTAGTTAGTTAGTTAGTTAGTTAGTTAGTTAGTTAGTTGCATCTGCGCACACGATGAGACTCGTTGTTGGTCAGAGACGAGAAAGAATGGGCCTGTTCGGGAATCGGAGATCGCTACGCGCGTACTGTGCACGGTGTATGAAAAATTTCGTTTCCAACGATAGCCAAACGATCGCGACGATATCGGGATCGTCGGGATCGTCGCGATCGTCGCGATATCTGCACGTTTCAACGTTATACCGTCATGCGATCCTCTACACCTTCGTCCAGACTCCCGAGAAGATACGCGATCACGAGGTACACGCGATTCGTCGCATCGGGCACGCGTGGTTCACGTTAAACCGTATATATTCGCGCGTATACCATGCTTTCCCGCGAATCGTACAAGCGACTAACCCGGAGCAGCGAGAATACGGAACGGTGTTGGCCAGTTCGTGTGTGAACACGGTGATTGTAATCGTAGCGGAGAACTATGTGCGAGAAACGAGGTAGTCGGGATAATGAAGATAAAAATGTGACCAAAGCCAATGATCGGAATAGAGAAACTAATAACGTGGTAGTCATGCAAAATAGAAAGAATAAATGAAAGAGAGAGAACAAAGGAGATTACGAATAAATGACCAGAAACTATCCTAGAGAAGCTACGTTATATGACGTGAACGAGACACGTTGTTCAACGCTGTGCAGCGTTTTTACGCGTTTCCTTCGAAACACGGACGCGGGACAAATTCCAGTTGCCCTAAGAAAGTTAGTGGCCCAAGAAGGAAATAAATAAATGAACGAATGAAAAAATGTATTCGAATATCTTTCGCAGTATAGGATGCTTCAATAGTCTAGCGTAGAGTTCTACCGAGCGAGACCACGTCGAAATTGTTACGCTCCGGCGCGTATCGGTTTCTCGCGCGGTGTAACGTGCGCATCGCATCGTGTCGTATCGTGTCGTATGAATCGCGTAATCGTAGGTCATCGATAGATCGTACGGTAGACTGTTGCCGCATATCTAATAGAGGAATGTATACAGGTTGGCTGATAAGGCTCTGAGGACCTGTACCTCTGTCTAAGAGGGTCAGCAGTGGCGAGTAAGGAGTTGTGGGCGTTGCGTGGTTGAGGGTCCAGTAGTGAATGGTCGCTGGGGGGTACGCCACTCGAGGAACGATGACCTGCGCTGATGCTCGCAGACTTGGTGTGACCCCGCGTTGGTCTAGTGCCCTCGCCGAGGCTGTGTACAAAACTAATCAGCAAACTGCCCGGCCCTACTTTTCTACGCTTCCTATAGCTATTCTCTTACATCGCATTCACGCCCCCACCCCCACCCTCCCAGCCCCCCTTTCATTCTCTTTATCTTTTTCTCTTTTTCTTCTTCCTTTTCGTTTCTTTACGCGCGACTTTAACCTTCTCGCCCAATTTCTCTCCTCGTTTTACATATCCATGTACCAATCTCGTTTTTCCTTTTCGTCTACGTATCGGAATTTCGCAATCAAAATTGCGTTATTCCGATACTGCGTGTTTTCACTTGCCGTTTCAATGATATACAACATCGACAGCTGTTCTTTCATAATCTATTCGGAAGGGTGGGAAAGAAAAGAAAGAGAGACAGAAAGAAAGAAAGGAAAGGATGATGAGGGAATTCGAGCGAATGGCAGAGAGAGAGAGAGAGAGAGAGAGAGAGAGAGAGAAAAGACATGGGTGTGCAAGAAAGGGAAATCAAGGAATCAATTCATACCGGATGTTGTCTCGCGTGTTCAAACATCTACGCTCTGATCGTACTATGTATGTACACGTATATGTGACATATAGGCGTGAACGAATTTATCGAAAACTATGGGGAACAGGGTGTCGTACTATCGGGAGGACATGGGCGGATTAAGGTGAATGGATGATAAATGAAAATTCCATCTCGCGTTACCAACAAGTTTAGCACGCGAAAAGTTCTACGATAAGGGAAACAGAATGTGACGCTAAAACATAAATAGTGACGTATGTATGATGATGTTAATGGCTGTTTTTATACACACACGCTGGTAAATCTAGACATACGCTGGTAAAAAACAGAGTAAAGAGATATGTGAATGTAACTGTGATCCGGTATCATTTTAGCAAGCACTTGTATATGTATACACGTTCGATTAGACTATCTGTTTCGGTAAATCTGTCAAGCCATAAAGAAAGTGATCTGCAATGAACGATTGGCAGGCAGCAGCCAACATGCTAGAGCAACGCAACAAACAAAGAAACTCCCTGGGGCTTATCATGACAGATTTTTGTTATCGTTTGTCCGCTTTTTTCCATGTTGTTCATTAAAGTAAGATTCTATCACCTATGGTTAGTAGTCGGTACAACGAAAACTGTATTGTTTAGTCAACAACGAAACATCGTGTAACGTATATACGATTACGAGCTATGCGTATTCGTGTGCACGTTAAAAAGAAACGCACTCGTTCGATCGATGCAGATGCTGGATCGTTTTCCTCGCTATTTCCAATATTTACGAAAGAAACGTCTCGACGTCGCTTTTCCGTGTCGTTGTACCACGACGTGAGAGAACGCGAGGAAAAAACGGATCCAGTATCTTCTTCGCGTTACGACGAAGAAAATTTTCCCCTTTTCTTCGATTTATAGTAAGAAAAAAGGAAAGAGAATGTTTAGGTCGATATGTACGATCTGACAGAAAAAAAGAGAAAAAAAAAAAAAAAAATCAAAAAAGAATCGGACATCACTATACCTGGGTGCATCGTTGGTTCTTTCGGTAGACGAGGAGGACGTTTTCGCTTGATCATAGGAGATGGTACTACGTCGACCAACAGAACCAGGGGCAGGTGAGGTAAGAGGCCGACCACCACCTACCCCTGCATTCATCGTGTTGCTCTTGCCTGCCCATGCCCTACCACCGGGACTTGTACCCACGCCTAGAATGAACATTGTCACTGCAAGCCTCATTAGATATAGTTCAACACAAAACAAAGCAGCGTATGGGGGGGGGGCGGGGAGGGGGGAAGACACAGTGTACGTGTAAGTATGCACGTTGAAACGCGTATAGATACGATCGCACAACGTCGTCTCATTTGCTTTCGTCTATAAGGGAAACGAACATTTTCTCTCTTGTCATTCCACGATTGATCGATTAACCGATTAATCGAGGTAATAAACGGTATGGATTCTAGGAAAAATTTTCTATGCCGAAAGTAAAGAGAGGCAGATACGACGCTGATATTTTCTGCGATCTACGATCGTAACTTGTTTTTTAACTCTAAATCAATTCGTACGTAACGGGTGTAAATAGATACAAATGGATCGACATTAAGGTCGATGCAATCACGCGACACGAATTTTCCTTTTCGAGAGAATTCGCGAAAAAGAACATGACCAATGTCGTCGTGTTTTGACTCTATCGTTTCTCGTATCGAGAGTACGATAATTACTGTGATCTAGAGTTAGCGTTTTCGCGTCGCATCGTTGTAACGTCCACGATGTTGGAAACACATGTAACGTGGCACAAAAAGAAATTGACAAAAAGAGAAGAAAAAAAAAAAAAGAAAAAAAAAGGAAAAAAAAGAAGAGAAAAAAATTGGAAAAAAAGAAGAGACGAGAAAGTAAAAATGACAAATTATTAAACGTTTCAATGTATTAGGGTACGAATCACGGCAACCTTATCCAAAGCAGATATATATATTCTTGCTGAAGCCTTACACAATTGTAGCACAGCAAAAAACAAGTGGACAAATATCGATTGAAATCACGTTGGTAAAAGTGAGGGTATAACGAAAAAAACTCACTGGTATCTAATTGGCCAGGACTGTTTTTAGGGGCCGATGGTCGGCTCGCAGAGACGCGAGCGGTATTTTCCTTGATCGTGGCTGAATCCACGGTATTTTGTCTCTTAAAATTACTACCGCTGCTTCCAGTCACCGTTACACCAGTCGTAGCAGTCGCGTGATTATGGTTCGTTGCATTTCCTGGGCTCGGTGCTCCTCCTGATAAAACAAACGTTGTTCACGAAACAAGCACGGGACCAAGCACGCGCGTAATACGCGACTCGAGGCTTAAAAACGTTACTAATCCTATGAATACCCTTGCAATTGCCAAATCTTTGGCACAGGGAATATTAAAAATCGTGTGGGGAATTCTCACTGAAACAGACACAACACCGATTTAGTTCGGATGTTGCATAGCATTTATTACAATAAGCACGTTTTTACCTAGATATCTCTCTCTCTCTCTGCTTCGTTCTCGCTCCACGAGTTTTGCGTTAACTCGATCGAGCGAGGCCATCCGCCGGTTCGGATTAACGTAGATTATCAACTTTTAAGTATAATTCGAATTTAATTCGGAGACAACGTTTAACGAGGAACAAACGTTTACTTACGATGCGTTTCAAGACCGGACGAAACTCGTCTGTTTGGTTTTGGATTGCTAGCGGAAATACTTCTGTGAACACCTCTATGCGACGGACTCTGCACGGCGCCACCCGTTCCTCCTCCGCTTCCACCTCCGCCACCTCCACCGCCGCCACCCGTACCAGCTTGTGGTGGAATGTTACGCAGCGACAATGAACTGCCTGATCGCGAGCCGTCAGATTCAGGCTGCGAAAAGAATAATATTAATTCCTATTCGTTGGTCGATCGCGTCAGTCTGACAGACGTTTACACGAAATCGTCGGTTCTCCTTTTACTCACATCAGTTGTCTTTCTTCCTAAAAGTAAGTACGTGGCGAACACGTCATCGTACTTTGCTTGTCCCAAGGAATCTTCTATTTCGCTTCTCGTATACCCCATACTAGCCAGGGCCTCTAAAACAAACAGATGTAGCGGCATAGTCACAACCACTAAAAGTATTAAAATTACAAGGTCGAATAGATACGAAAGACGCGTTGACTACTGCGTCATCCGTTTCTAAACGTCTAACGATGCAAAAAGAAAAGAAAGAAAGGGAAGGTTTCTAAGAAAAAGTCGGTGCATTGCTGTGAGAAAATAAAAATATGCATTCGCTGACACGACTCTTGTACTATTAAAGCTACACGACTACTACGATTATAATACTATCATTCTGTTGCTACTGCTATTGCTATCGCTATTGCTATTGCAATTGCTATTACTAACTATCGCAAACACTATTACTATTACAATTATTATTACTACTGCGCATCGTTTGGTGCACACATTGAAATTCGCAGCTAATTCGTAGGCGGTAACGGTTGACAAATCGTTTTTGGTTTAGCGATCAATCGTGGCTGAACGAAAGATTCGTACAATGTACACACGACAACGTATAGCATGTTCAATTTGGAACGGTATTACCTGATGCGACGTGACGCGACGCTACGCAACGTGGCAACAGTATGGTTGAAAATCATGCAATTTTATATTTTACATAGAAACAATAAGTAGTAAGTGTTATGTACATACTGGCAGACTCACCTATCCTCTTGTGGTCTTTATAATCAGGTTCAGGTTCTAAGTACGGTTTTAGTTCATCGTCGTCGTATCCCGTGTTCATCCACCTGTCTTTCATGATAGTCTACAAGCAGG